GAACCCCAACCAGGGATCCCATCCCGGGAACCCCAACCCGGGAACCCCAACCCGGGGATCCCATCCCGGGAACCCCAACCCGGGAACCCCAACCAGGGATCCCATCCCGGGAACCCCAACCCGGGAACCCCAACCCGGAGATCCCATCCCGGGAACCCCAACCCCGGGATCCCATCCTGGGGAACCCCAACCAGGGAACCCCAACCTGGGAACCCCAACGGGGGGATCCCCAACCAGGGATCACAACCCGGGAACCCCAACCCGGGAACCCCATCCCGGGGAACCCCAACCCGGGGATCCCATCCCGGGGAACCCCAACCAGGGAACCCCAACCTGGGAACCCCAACCAGGGATCCCATCCCGGGGAACCCCATCCTGGGGAACCCCACCCCGGGAACCCCAACCAGGGATCCCATCCCGAGGAACCCCATCCCAGGATCCCCATGCCGGGAACCCTATCCCGGAGAACCCCATCCCGAGATCTCATCCTGGGATCCCCATGCCGGGAACCCCAACCAGGGATTCCATCCCAGGAACCCCATCCCGGAATCCCCACCCCCGGCAGCCCCAAACCCGGGACCGCCATGCCCAGGATCTTCACCCCCGGTACCCGCCACCCCCGGGATTCCCATCCTCGGGATCTCAACTCCCGAACTCCGGAACCGCCGAGATAACCCAAGCCTGGGACTCCCATCCCCAGGACCCCTCAGTGCCCCGGAACAGCCGCCCGCGGGATCCCCAGCCCCCGAAACTTCGACCCTGGAACCACCATCCTCGGGACCTCCCCATGCCCGAGACCACCACCCCCAAAATCTGCCTTACCGCGTTGTTTTACGAGCTATTCAAGAAGAATGCGCACAGAAATCAGGGCAGAAGTCTCAAAACTCTAAACAAAAAGTTCTCAAAGAAAGTTCAAGCCTTCCCTCGAAGAGCTTCATCCCTGAACGCTTCCAGACGTCTCTTCACCTCCTTGGGAATTCCTGTATGGCAAGAGAAACTTTTACTGAGTATGTTTTGTACAAAGACCGCTAGGATCCAAGCGTTCAAAATTTGGATTTTAATTTCTAGTGTTGCCCGTGAGAAACTCCTTCGTCGATTTTTATTAATTTGGTTTCCCAAGCTTACATTTGACCTCAGTACTCAGATTCACTAAAAGCACTATACAAAATGTTTAAAACAAATAAACAAACAATCCCCAAACCATTGCAACTCCCCGCCTCCCCAAAACAAAACCAAACCCACTTCGCTTGTGCCGAGGATACCATCCACCCGCAACTTTTGTCAGCAAATATCACCAGTTTCTTTGAAATCCCTGAAAATAAATCAAAACACAGTCTTGAGCGATTCGTGCCCTTAGCAGATAAGTATTCCGCAAGTTTAGCTGAGTGTTCCCTAACCCAGTATTTCTGTTTGTTTGTGAAATGGAACTGGTTTCTCTCAAAGCGAAACTAGCAGTTTCATGTGGTTTCAGGTTTCAGTAGGAAATATTTACACGGTTCCATGTAAATAGGGAGTACTCTGTTCTCTTGGAAACAATAGAGTAGACGCCACAGACACACATCTACGTGAATTATCTTTTCTCACCATTGCTAATTACTAAGCACTTAGCTAGAACTGACAGTAGCAAAATGAGCTGTTAACACAGTTGCTGTTTCTCTTTGTTTAGGAAATAATAGTTTCTGAATACTCAATTCTATGTGACTTCGATTTAACACACGGACCTTTTTTGCACCATGTTAACAGAAAATATTTGGAGTATCTTGTCTGGTAGGCTCAAACAGTTGGGGTAATCAAATCTTGAAGCTTTTTTTTTCCCCCTTTAAGGCTTCTATCAGATTAGAATTACTTTTGCATCCCAGCGGTATTTCCTTCTCCACGGTAAAGTCTCTCTTATTGTTTACAGTTGTTAAACCAAGTGACAACTGCTATTTGTAGCTGTTAAATAAGAGAATAACTCCAATGTCTTTAATTGTAATGAACCTAAAATATTAGTAGATCTGAATGACTTAGTCTTAAAATACTGTTTTTACAGAAATTTATCTGGTGAGAAAAACCCACAGTAATTTTGAATTACAGCTCACACACTTGCCAGTGCACGTAAGGCTGAGATTGGGCCCTTAAGCCATAGGTGGACTTCGGAGTTTAGTTTTCCAAGATATTTTCAACATCTGATTCTACATTGCTTTATCGAGACAGTCAGCCATAGAAGTGTCTTCCTAAGCCTTTTGTTATATTCTTTAAAACCACTTCTTCAAATACATAACTTCTTGTTGATAGAAGTTAGGCAAGTCACTGGAACTTCAGACTAAAATTGGTATAACTGATATATAAAAGGAAGAAAAAAAACTGATTCACTTATAGGGTTTTTAAAGATCACATGAAAAGAAAAAACAAAACAAAAACCCAAGTATAGGAAGTATAAACAAACAACATTTTTTGTTTTGAAAAACAACCGGCTTGACTTCACCTCTGCCTTATCTTGCATTCAATGGGAATGTTCCCCTGAATATTCCTTCTGCCAACACAGGGCTGCTGTATCACTTGGCAAAACAGTCACCTGGAGTACAGACCCCCAGGCATTGCTTCAGCTTCTACAAAGTGCTAATTTTCATTTTCTAAAAACAATGAACAAAAAACCCCAACAGCAATAAAAATACAAAAAACCCACCACCACACAAACAAAAAAAAAAGGGAGAGGTAACAAGTATTGTCCTCAAGTACACAGGTTTTTATCTATGGATCTCAGTTACAGGCAAGGCATTAGCTGGGAAAAGTCATGATGATTATGCCCCTGTTTGGTCTTACGTTCTTAATTCCCACTGAAACTGCAATGTCTTTTTCCCAGTGTGCTTTCACAGTGAAATAGGAAAGGCATATTTGCTATTCGACAGCAAATGTTTGGGTTTTTTTTTTTCAATGAAGACACAGCTGCAGTTTATTTGTGCCTCACACTGTTAAGGTGAAGAAGCAGCAGTGAAATGCTGCACCTGTAGCAAATCATACTGTGGCCATCCAACGCCCTTGATACCGAGTTTTTACACCATTTTCATATCATTTTGCTGTTGCTCCTTGAATTTCTTGGTAAGGAAATCTCCTACTCCGTCCTGTAAATGTTACTACTGTTTCCCATGCCCTGTTTTTGCCATTTGCAATCTTTTTTTTTTCTCCCTACGAAGGAGTTGAGTGTGGGAGAAAAAAAATTCGACCTATGAGTCCTTTTCCTTTCTCCTTACCTAATACTTCCCTCCAGCAGGCAAACATTTGCTCACTAAGAACTGGAATCTTCAGAACCCACCTTGAGAAATCCTATTGACAGGATTTCATATCGGCACATATTTTTTCAAGATGGAGGAGATTAAAATATGGACATATTTATACTGTGGTAATGCTGTCCAGACTCTCATCCCGATTCTGCTCCCTCTTACCTTTACTATTGTGGGACAGAATCTGGGGTAACTCAAGCTCTGCCATTCTGTGCCTGTTTCCAGCTTGGCCTTTGCCCGGATCACCTGGCTGGTTTGTCTGGGAAAATACACAAAACCAGAGAGCACCTGGTACTACAGAACCGAGAGAGGGATCTGATGCAGAGATAACATTCATTGCTTTCAAATGCAACACTTCAGGCGCAACATACTGATAATTCTTTGGAGGCAAATCTGATGCTTTCTTGGAGATAGTGCCGTGCCCAGTGCACCAAGTAATCGTGAGAAACTGAGAAAGTTTGTGGTATAAATCCAGCTCTATTTAGGAATTCTAATGGCAACCAAAAACCTACTGGAGACAAGATGGTCAGAAGAGCAGGGACATGGGGTTTTTTTGAGGGTAAATCAGGTTTTAGAATGTTCTAAGCTGCAATTTACATTCCAGGGTCTGAGAGCACTCCTACCCAGTCATTACACAGCTCAGCCCTACTGAGACCATACAGTGAGTGTGTGCCTTTTGCAAAAAAACCCAAACACCCATATTCACTGTACGCAGATAAAACTTATTTAAGAAATACGGTGTCGGTCCTAGTGTAGTCATGATGAAGTGCCCTTTATCCATTTCCTAATATCATGAAAATAATTGAAACCATTTTTTACACCCTCAAATCAGAAACTGGAGCAAGTTAAACAACTTTCTTA